CCGTTGTTTGATGAATAATTCCACATTCTAAACATATTTATTCAAAAGGAGATTCATATTCACCACCCCTATCACTTTTTATCATTTTGATTTTCTTGTTAAGTTGCGTTTCAACTTCATTTTTTTATTTCTTGAATGCGTCTATTGCTTTATCTTTACTATTAAGTAAGTAAACATAGCAATATCTAGTACTATCGTCAATAAAAGTTATGAAATACTTCTTTCCACCACGAGATGGTATTGACTTCATATCGCAAATATCTGTGTGAATTATGTCTAAAGGATCTGAATTCCTTTCAACTAACTTATAAGGATGTTTAACATACTTAGATTCCACACATATTTGACATTTTGATTTACCGCATTCAAACTTAGGCAATACTTCCAAGTTAATCATTTTCCGCAAGGTTTTATAATTGACATGACCCAAACGTATGTGTCATAATTCATTTGACTCAAGTAAGTAAGACGAAGCTAAAATTTTATTATTATTTTCAACAACCATTACATTCAGCTTGAAAAGGCCCTCAGTGAGGTAACCTTTTCCGACAAACATTTCGTTCTTACTTATTACAACTTTATCGGAAACAAAAATACATTTAAAACCATTCTTAACAAGAAGTCCAGCAGAGACTAAATTCTTCCTAATCTCGGGAACATGAAGGACGTTGTTCAAAGTCACCACCTTGCCAGAAGTCATCTTTAGAAAGATCTTCCCACATCCTTCAATCTTGGCGGTTGCAGCATTTCCCACAGAAAGAGTCTTTTTGGGTCCAACAGGAGCATATGTTGCAAAAGCTTCCCTAACAGCACAAACATGGCGAGTGGCTCCAGAATCAATCCACCATTCCTTAGGATTTCCCACCAGGTTGCATTCAGAAAGCATGTCACACAAGTCACCAACATCTTTATGCTTTTTAACCATGTTTGCTTGACCCTTCTTCTTGTCTTTCTTCGGAGCACGGCACTCTGTAGATTTGTGCCCAACTTTCCCACAGTTGTAGCAATTTCTGTTGAACCGCTTCTTGCTTGGGTTGCTTTTTGGTCCAGAAGCCTGCTTCCTCTTTCTCTTATTTTGAGAAGTATCCTCAACAATGTTTGCTCCCATTATTGTTGAGTTTCTACGGCCTCTCTTTTCAGCAGCTTTGTTGTCCTCTTCGATTCTCAACCGAACAATGAGATCTTCAAGGGACATCTCCTTGCGTTTGTGTTTCAAGTAGTTTTTGAAGTCCTTCCACAAAGGAGGCAACTTCTCAATCATCGCTGCTACTTGGAATGCTTCATTGATGACAAGACCTTCAATGTAAATTTTGTTAGTATAAATACTAAGATTACTACTTTCAACATTAGTATTAATTTGATTTATACCTTCAGCAAGGAGATCGTGAATGATCACTTGCAATTCCTGGACTTGGGTAATAACAGACTTGCTATCTACCATTTTGTAGTCCAAAAATTTAGCAGCAACAAATTTCTTCAACCCGGCATCTTCAGTTTTGTATTTCTTTTCAAGCGCAGTCCACAATTCTTTTGACGTCTCCACGCCACTGTAGACATTATACAGATCGTCCTCCGGTCCGCTAAGAACATAATTCTTGCACAAAAAATCAGAATGCTTCCACGCCTCAATCACGAGAAAGCGTTTATTCTCTGGAGTTTCTTCGGGCAGAACGGAAACATCTTCCTTGATGAACTTTTGCAGACTTAAAGTAGTCAAGTAGAAGAACATCTTCTGCTGCCACCGCTTGAAATCTAACCCGAAAATTTTTTCGGGTTTCTCCGCCGGTGCCAACGCCGGTGTTCGGCTTGTTGATGCATTGGCAGTCACCATTGGAACAGCTTGGTTCACATTATCATTAGTCATTTCTGTAAAAGAATGACACAAACGTTAAAATCACGTAGATTTTAATCTCCAACGGAGTAGAAAAGCACAAATATTTTAATCTCCAGAACAGTGAATAACACAAATACAGAATACAAAAAGTTAAATTCCTTAAGCTTGTTAGTAAACTATATTTGTAAAATAGTTCTGGAAAATATAAAATAACACAAACAGAAATATAGACGAAACAAAGATTAATTCGAGCCCACTGAATTCACAGTGTTTCCTTGAGGGATTTAATCCCCTCCTAGTACCCAAGGTTTTGGATTATTTCCTCCCAGGATAGGACGAATTACACACTGGTGTAGTGTTACTTCAAACCTCAGTGTTTCAGCGAACACAAAGTTCTATAGCAAATCACACTTACTGTTGCTTTCTTTGAAGTTAAAACAATGCAGAAGGAGGAGGAGAAAGTCAGAAATTCGTATGGAAGTTCTGAGCAGAATGGACTTGTATTTATAGCCAATGTTAGGCTGAAATTTGAAGAGGTGCAACTCTTCAGAATAGCTGTTTATGCAAAATGGCCACAACATAAATGCCATAACATAAATAGCTATTAATATTTATTTTAATATTAATATTTTGTTATTAAAACGAATATTTAATAATATTTGTGTTAATATTTTACTATTAACAAATAAATTTGGTCCAAAATCCAAAGCCGAAGCCGAGCGACGACGGTGCGAGGCTTGCCTTCTTCTCAACTCTTTAAGAGCTAGAAGAAGAGCAATTGCTTATATACCCATAAAAAAACTTCTTCCTCTTCCAATATGGGACAATGTTCCTTCGTCCAGGGGAGAAACTTAAAATTTCACTTAAAATTTTCATTTCCCTCCATTTTCCATTCACCATCTTTTAAGCATTTAACATACTTAAAATCCCAACAGTTAGTACTATCCTAAATGAAAAATTAGACTACTCTAGTCACCAGGAAGCTACTACGATTCTTAAAATAAACCAATTCCCTTTCCTGAGCCTCATCATCCACGCCAGGCCTTTCCAACTAAAGAATGCTTTTTATTGCAGCATTAATCCTTCTTTTTGGTTTTAAACTTTTGAGTGTTCATAGTTCTACATCATGTGGATCCCAAAGCTAGTACTTTTGAAACAAGCTTTGGTCTAATCTTGCTACACTTAGGAAAATATGACATCTGGAGAAGCATGAGTAGGAATTCAATAAAAAGCTTTAATATTATGCGCTACTAGGATCTGCACTGCTTTAGGAATTGATAAGGCGCACAACAATAGATATGGCAAAAACATCTATCGTCTATTGTAAGGTAACCAAATACTCTTTCAAACTTGAATTACAAATGATCCCATCAGCAGGTTAGCAAAGACAATATTGTTGTTCGCGCATTGAAGCCTACGAAATGTGAAGTTCATAGCACCAATCACTTAGATTCCTGTTTTTATTCATAAGGGGACATCATTGTTACTTCACCTTGATATGAGCATATACCATCAACAGGTGAATCATCAAGGTTAAAAGGATAACTCATTACATAGAATGGATGCTGAGGTTCCACATTACCTTAGAGGAGCACTTGATTGACAAGACAAGACAACACAGCAAACACAGAAATGCGGACACTCACATTTGCCCCTGTTCAAGGACAACTAGTAATTGTTGATTAGACACTAAAAAGCCCCGGCTATAAAGGAATCTACTCTGTTCCCATGGAAACTTCAACATACAGCAAACACCTAGTTAATTACCTCAAGTTTGTACTAGACGATACGATACTTTGACAGGAAATCCAAAACCAAACGCCCTTGCCTTTCTGATCATTCAGAGATAGGTAATGAAATCATAAGCCATCAAACTTGATAGGAACACACATGGTTCGATATTGTCACAAGTTTATAAATTTCCTATTAGGTCACTACCTATCAAAAAATAAACAACTAAATAAAGATTGATGATAGTATGGTGATATAAACCATTTGAAGCTTTGAGATGACATGCTTGAGAACTATCAACAGCACAGAGCAGGACTTCTATTTTCTATATACGAAAGAGAGACGAAGATCCAAGTATCACACCACTGCATTGACAAATATCATTCTTCATTGACATCACAGTAACCCTTCAACATGAACCTTTAAAGGAGGCAACACACTTTCATAGAAAAGGAGAAGTCCACAAAAGACTTGAATTTAGAACTTAACAGTTCTTCTAATCAACATACTAGTGCTTCCACTATACTATACATCTGTAGTTCCAAAATCCGTGTCTGTTTACTTAAACAGGCATATTTATAATAAACTAATACAAGCAACACAGAAACTATTAATAGCAACACCATAAGCACAGATGCAGAGCCAGGATTTCAGTTTATGAATTCTTGATGTTAGAATGACGATTTCAAGTATTAGTAACTAGGTTCAAAATTTTAATATGTGTACATATTTAATTAATTTCTTAACATAAATACACAGTTTGCTCAAAATCTACTGGGATCGACCAAACTCATATAAGGGCTTCTAACTCCACCCCTGCATAAGCCTATAAGCCATTTCAAGGATGCAGTCCTCCAAGCCCTTCCTACTCCAATGTTCTAACCTGATTGGTTAGATACTATGTTACAGTTACAAGGTTAAGAATTTAACTTTAGAAATAGTTGTTCTTAGTTTCACAATATTATCAAGCCAATATTCATTAATTCGGGAAGACCCCGATACCAGATTCAAACCAAACATGTACTGATGTACATTAACACATGGAAAGTGGAACTTGCATCCATGATGCGAAGTTAACAAAATCAACACTTTAACCCCACGCACACTCATGTTTGTGCTTGTGCCTGCTGAATGCATTCTAAAGGTTTTTGCCTTGTCCTTTTGGCAAATGAATTCCCTTGCTCAGGCAATAAATAGGCATTCTCATGCCAAAGAAAAGTATAAAGCTACAGAACCTCCTATAACGAGGTCAATTTTGATCGAGAAATTCACCAAATTTTATGGCTTTCGAAATGCAACTCTGTATGTGAGTGTGCCTGTTTGTCGCGAACGTGACACTGTAGGAAAGAAACATTTTACCACTTCACGCGTAACATTTCTTTTTTTTTTTTTTTTGAGAAGGTAAACACCTTACGTGTAACATAACAAATGCAGATAACAGTAACAAGAACTATGAAGAGTTACCATTGATAACTATGTAAGTCTAGTACATCAACACGTTTATGAAGCATATGGGCATTACTATACAGGGAGGGTCAATTGGTCAGACTAGATCTGCTTCTTGTCAAACACTATTCCTTTCCTTTCTACTCCAAATCACTGTACGATGCTTCCTCTTCTGGCAATTCAAACTCATCAACCTCTTGAAAATGCTTTCGCCAGTAGTTAACAAAATCTTCTGGCAAGGAATCTTCAAGGACAGGTTTCTGCTCTGTGCACCTCCTCTGCAGAAACATTTTAGTTATTAGCCATCAAAATGGTAGGCTATGATATAAGCGAAAGAATGCACAGCCCACGCTCCACAAAGCAGTTATCAGCAATATTAATAGTAATTTATTACTAGTATTAAACACCAACCCCTCAGTTTTAGGTAACTCGCTGAGCCATTATTTTGTTCATCTTGCGCTAATATTGTTTTGACATGGTTGGTGAAGAAAATCAAGTCAGGGGGTCAGCGATGTAAGCTTAGGCTTGCTATGGAACCATTTTAGAAAGAAATGTTTCAGAACGTTAACAAACCTCCATGTCATGAATGTCTCTCATATCTAATCTACATATTTTCCTATACATGAAACAAATATATTACAAGATAATTGTGCAAAGATACGGATGAAACAAACTTTAGCATATTATTTCCCATAGCTCTGAAACTAAACCTAGAAATAGAAAATAAAAGAGGCCAGCACCCATTACTACTGGTTGTCCATGAGATCTCAACAGCAATGAGAAGGATGTATAAAAGAAGCCAGTTACAGATACTTAGGGATGGCAATGGGGCGGTGCGGGTGCGGCGCGGGCGGGTTTAGGCATATGGGGGGCGGTGCGGGTTTATACATATGCGGGTGCGGGTTAAACTAAAAGAAAGATAATTTTTTCTGGGTGCGGGTGTGAGTTCAAATACTCATTTTTCACATAGCTAAAAAGGAATAAAAAGTATTTAATTTTAACAAATCCAATCTCGTACACTATAAATTAATGTTCTTCCATTATGACAAAAACAATCAGGTCACTTGACAAATAAGTATAATACAAATCTCTACAATAACTATATGAAAACAGAGACTAAATTAAAAACGTTAACAATAACAGAAAATGAGAAAATTACTTTCTACTTCTGATTGAAATAAATTAAGATAGTTAAATATTTATTCTGACTATGTGTGTGTATATAAGTTAAATAAAAAGGTGTAGTAAATAAACAACTCATAGGCAAGTTGAGCTAGAGTATCGTTTCGAAGTTCTGTAGAATTCAGTGCTTTAGACCAAACTTTATATATATAATAAGAAATTTATTAAAAATAGTAAATTATTAATTAAAAACTTAATAACTTATAAAGGTTATACTTTTGAATTCTTAAACTTCAAAATCCTACTTTCGTTACGGGTACAACTTAGAGGTTGTAAGAGAGATGGTAGTGAGAAGGTAATGAAGACACACTACACACACGTGACGGTCAGTCTCTTCAACGCTGATCCCACGTTAATTTATCGCAAAACTAAAATAAGACAAATTGAAAAGAAAAAAAAAAAGTTGTGGGGCGGGGCGGGACAGGTGAACACGGGTGTGGTGCGGGGCAGGTGGATGCGGGTTGAAAGAGCTATGCGGGGCGGGGCCACTGTTTTGGAGAGCGCGAAGCGCAAAAAAGCGACAAGGGCTCGCTTCGCTTCAAACGCGAAGCGCACGCTTTATTAAAGTGAAGCGCAATTCTTAAAAAACATAATATAAAATTATAAATAATCAAAAACTTCAATTTAAATACTCAAAAGTAGGTACTAGGTACCACCAAATCATCCACAAGCCATCCACAAACCATAGGACAAGCAAAATCAAAGCTACTAAATTACTAGAATCAACATTTCAATATCCCTATTAAAATATAAGAAAAAACATAATCAATAAACAGAAAATACATATAATATATATGATAATTAATTATACAAATTGAAATATACATTTAAAAAATCACATAAACTGAAAATATAACATATATAATAATTAATTTTAATTACTGAAATATACACTAAAAAATCAAATAAACTGAAAAATATAAAATATATAAATTATAGATAATGAAAGAAAGAAGTAAAAAAGAGAAGACAAAACTCAGAAGAAGAAAGAAGAAGGACGAAAGAAGACAGACAGAACTCCAGCCCAGCGAGTCAGTGACGAAAAAAATGAGAAGAAGAAAGAAAGAAAGAAAGAAGAAAAAAAATGAGAAGAAGAAAGGAGAAGAAAATTCACCTGGACTGGTCGACTGGAGTTGTGGACTGGTGCTGGTCTGCTGCGATGAAGAAGAGAAAAGAAAGCAGAAACTTTCTGTCCGAAAACCCTAATTTTTCGATGAAGAAGAGAGAAAATCGCAGCAATTGTGTTCTGTTATGTCGCGCAGCATTAGGGGTTTGTTTTGTATAAAATTAAAAACAGACCCAATTTTTTTTTAAAAAAAAAAATAGGCCCAGATGCGATTTTTCTTCAAAAGCGATCGCTTCGTCACTTCGCTCGCCTCGTCGCTTTTTTCTCTGAAGCGTGCGCTTCAGCTGTTCGCGTCGCCTTAGGCACAGAAAAGCGATACTCTGTCGCTTCGCGTTGCTTCGCTCTTTAAGCGACGAAGCGTGCGCTTTTTCAAACACTGGGCGGGGCGGGTTGAAATGTTGCGGGTTAAGAGAGAACCCGCCCCGCACCGCACCGCTTGCCATCCCTGCGATACTTCTCATTAGAGATCAATACAAAAAGAGATTGTTAACAAACCTTCTTACGCTTTCCACTAGGATCCGTCCATGAACCTGAGGGTTTAATATTACCAGCTCCATTGAATTCAGTCCTATATAGAAGAAACAAGAATCAAGAGAGCATCAGCATTGAGCATTCTCCTATGTCACTTTCACATTTATAATGTCTTTATTCCATTCAAAACATAAATGCCTCAATTTTAGATGTGCCGCAGGAAAGAAATGGGGATAGGGGAAGGTGTTGCTAATGTGCATGCTGCAGAGCTATCTTGCGTATTAAGCATGTGCGGAGCCTTTAAAGTGAACACAATTGCAACTAAGACACCCAATTCATTAAAGATTATGCTACTTCAGGTAGATAAAGAAATAAATAGTAGCTTGAGTGCACTGCCAAGACAGAAACATTTTCAGCCAGACTAAAACTGGGAAAGGATACAAATTCATGAGGAAGTGCCACTGAGAATTTCTCAGGGTCAAAACTAGAGGTAAAACTGCATGTACGTGTCAGGAGCATGAAAGTTCAATCAACCAACAATCTATATTTGGTACAGGATATAAGCAAATGATATCACCACAACAAGCTTCAAATCTCACGTGAGTCACCTCAGAAAAAAGGAAGAAAAAACAGCTGATATAAGAAAAAGGGGGAAAGAAAACTGCTTCCTCAAGATTACATGCATGTAGAGGCAGACATAAATAGAAAAAGTGTGTGTGTATGTGTGTGTGTGTGTGTGTGTGTGTGTGTGTGTGTGAGAGAGAGAGAGAGAGAGAGAGAGAGAGAGAGAGAGACCTATTGGTTCTTGTCTTTGGAAAAGTAGGGCAACTAAAAACTGATGTGTCTTCCATCCCTTTTCCCCTTGTTTTCTTTAAAGATGTGAAACTCCGAGTCAAAACACCAACTTTTTCTTCTGCTGCTTTTTCATCTGTAGGAAAGTGCTGATGAGAAATTGCCTTAGCTTTGGCCTTTACCCTCTGAGGAGATGAAGACACAAAAGGCTCATGAATAACCATTCCCTTCTTTTTCTTATTTTCTGAAACTGGAGTAGATAGAACAGCAATTCCTTTCCCCTTATCTTTCTTGGTCTCAGGAGACAAGCTACTGAAAGGCTCAGCAATTGCCTTCCCTTTATCCTTTGTGATTGTAGGAGGCAGGGAAAGGAAAGGCTCATCAATCTCTTTCCTTTTGTCTTTTTTGTTTTCATGAAGACTGGAAGTGAAGTTCGGAGCAGCAGCTTCCAAATTAGACTTCTCCGTAGTCTGCCTTCGATTATAAACTACAGCTTCATTATCCCTGCCTGCTTGAGTTACAAACAAGAGCGAACTTAGACAGGTTAACCCCAGGCGTTAAAACAAATACAGACATTGGAAATTGAGCAAAAGCAAGCATAGTAACACAATTCCTGCATTTAGCATTTCAATATTGGGAAGCCAAACTTGATTAGAGCAAATGAAGAATCAACCAAATCAATGGTAGGTATTACGTAGATGGCTTCTGCTCACATGGCAGGAACGTTTTTACAATTTTCAACATAAAACTCAATTTGCTACGGGTAGGCACCTGTAGATCATGTTTCACAACATATTAAGCTACCTTTATACATCATACTCAGACTATTTGCAGGCTTGCGATTAATCTAACACAATCCTTCTCCTTCATCTAGACTTGGAACTGACTATAAGAATCTCACATACGCAGAGTTCAAACTTATCATCATTACTTTATCAATAATAATGATTTCTTTGAACTCAAGACTTTAAGAGGTACTCAATAGTGAAATTATTAAGAAAAAATTACTTATATCCCATATTTCACAAGTTCGGATGGACATAAAGACAACTATTGCTACTAAGATTTTAAACAAAGTAGGTTAATAATTTGGTTCGTAACTTTTGGAGTTCCAAATCCCAGAGGAGGATCAAGAATTCGTACTTCGTGGGTTCGAGTATGGAAGTCCACCACAACTCATTTGATTTATAGGGTTTGTAATCTATATTCTTATACTCCCTTTCCCAATTTTATGTGGCGGTATTTGATTCGGCACAGAGTTTAAGAAGAAAGAAAGACTTTTAAAACTTGTGGTCTAATACAAGCCATAAATATTTATGCGACTATAAATTATCTCATTAAGGGTAAAGTGGGAATTTTAAAATTAAAATAATTCTAAATGAGGAAGTATGATATTCTTTTTGGGACAGACTAAAAAGGAAAGTATGACACACAAATTTTTTTTTCGATAAAGTAAGCGTAATTTTATATATGGCATCCAGAAGATGCAAGGTGTACAAAAGAGAGTACTTAAAAAAACAATCAGCTATGAACAAAAAGGAGCTAAGCAAGAGTTAAAAGCTGACAAAATCAAAAAACTTCATATGACAGTCATTAGGAACTAAATTATGCCAACTATACAACCATAGAAGACATCTAGCCTTAAGCACCATAGGAGGAGTTGATATCCCGTCAAAACACCAGCGATTCCTTTCTGACCACACACACCAAAAGATGCAGGCAGGAACCATCCTGCCAGATTTTAAATCCTGATTGACTTACCAACTTTACAAAGAGACCAGCATTCACAGGCTTCTTTGATGTTGTGGCATAACCCAACTGATGCCAAAAATAGCAAGGAACGTCTACCAGATATCTGCAACAACTAAGCAGTGAAGTAGAAGATGGCTGTTAGTTTCTAATTGCTGAAGACACATGAAGCATCTGTTGACAGTCAAAATGCTTCTTCTGCTTAAATTATCTTGAGAGCCTCGTGTTAGGCTATCCAGCTAAAACATTTGACCTTTGTAGGGAGTTTTGTTTTCCAAATATATTTCTATGGTCATCTGTCAATAATCTCATTAAAGAGCACAAATGAGAGTATCATGCTTTTACCAAATAATGAACATTCTTCCACTTCAAGCTATCAACAGATTCGTGCACAAGTGAATAGCCCCCCAATTTTTCCAGAATGTTGAAGTAGTTTGGTAGCTCCCGATCTTGGAAGTTTCTCTTGAACTGAATGTGCCAACAATTATCTTGCCAATTATGAGAAATGGTTGAGTTATGGTCACTAGCAATATGGAAAAGGCTTGGAAACTCATTCATTAGGATGGTCCCCTCTATCCACATATCCTTCCAAAATCTGATGTTGGCGACATTTCCCACTTTGAAAGACGTGCTACTAGAGAATTCACCACAGAGTTTTCGGATATGCTTCCATGGGCCAACTCCATGCAGGCTTCTTGAGAGCAAAGTGCACCAGTGATTTTGAGAGCCATGTTTTGCCATTACAACCTCCTTCCATAAAAAGCTTCCCGGTTGGCTATATCTCCACAGCCACTTCATAAGCATGCACTTGTTATGGATGGTTAGGTCCCTGATTCCCAATCCCCCAAATTGCTTAGGCATGGTAATCTTTGACCATTTAACAAGATGAAATTTGTGCTCGTTGCTGCCTCCTTCCCACAAAAAGGTTCTCCTGATTCTATCTAATTGCTTGGCCACCTTACTTGGAATTGGGACAAGGGACATTAGATAAGTAGGGATGCTATCCAATACACAATTAATGAGTGTCGGTCTTCTCCCCATACAGAGATATTGCCTTTTCCAAGAAGCAAGTTTATTTTCAAATTTCTCTACTGCTCCATTCCAAACCTCTGAAGATTTGTATTTAGCACCAAGTGGGAGGCCAAGGTAGGTGGTAGGTAGAGAAGTTGTACCACAACACACAATCTCAGCCAACTTCTCTAGATTAGGAACATTATTAACAGGATATACATTGTTCTTTGACATATTGATGTGAAGGCCTGAGAGAGCTTCAAATAACTTCAAATAATAGGAGAGTGAGATTGAGATACAGGACTTGGGATCTCTCTGCCCCACAGAAAATCAAGGTATCATCAGCATATAGCAGATGGGAAACTGAGAGAGAAAGACCAGAATTAAGACCAACATGGAAACCACTGAACCACTGGAGTTGTTTGGCTTTGTCTAACACCTTACTAGGACCCTCCATCGCCAGAATAAAGAGAAAAGGTGAGAGAGGATCACCCCGTCTTAGCCCCATTTGTGGAGAGAAAAAAACCCACTGGTCCTCAGTTGACAAGAACTCAGAGTATGACACACAAATTGGGACAGAGGGAGTACTATTTAGTGGATATTTAACACATTTACAGGGTCTAAACCAAATCTACTAGGTTCGGAGTTCGGATGAATGCATAAATAATGCAGTAGACCCCCCCCCCCCCTTCTAAATCTACATTGTAGTCTTCTACAGAACAGCAGAATTAGTTATCCATCAATGTACTTCTGAGTTGCAGTAACCCTGAAAGGAAGGAGCTAAAATCCTACAGATATCAATTTCTTTTTCATAATCAAGTTCTTCACACTTAACAAAAGATTTAACACTACTATAATCCTCCAACGAAAACGACGAGTAAAGAAAATAGATAGCAAGGTTGGAAGTATCAGGAGCTGCTTATAAGCAATATATTTATTCCGTACATGATAATTAACTGCGGCTTAATGTGGAAACGGTTAAGCGAGTAAAATAAACCTAAATGTCAAAATCCAAACAATAAATTCAAATAAACTGGAATATGCAAGTACACACACACACAGAGAGAGAGAGATAGAGAGTGGGGGAGAGAGATCATACCAGGAGTGGTTAATAAATAGTCAGGCACACGAGCAACACGACGAACAGTAGAAATATCGACGGGGTTAGGGTTTTGAGCAGAGTTGAAATTGGAAGATGCGACGCTGGTTACAGAGTTAACCTCCGCGGAATTGTTACTAGGCGAGTTGTTGTTGGGTTTTGAGGTATTGGAATCAGATTTGGAAACAGAAATTGGAGGTTTTCGGAAAACATTTTGAGGTTTCGAAGAAGAAGCGGCGGAGGAGGAGGAGACAAGCTTGCGGAGAGTGGAAGTGGGTATGAGATTGAAATTGGAGATGTCGGATAATGGTTGCCTCTTCTTGTTGTTCATAGATTTAGAGCTGCTATTTCTTTGAGTAGCCATGGATTCCCATATTTCAACTTCTCATTTCGTCAATTTTATTCTGTTGTTAACCGAAAAGAGAGTTGATTGTTGAAGAAGCTTAATAATCAGTTGGGTGGCGGGAAAACGTGTGGGAGATTTTTGAAAAATATAGGTGGATTATAGAGTTCACGACAAGATTGTTGAGTTTGGTAGAGAGGTCTTTTGGACTCTCGATGGTTCCGTTCGGAATCCTCGATTCAACCCTAGCCCGCCTTTAGTTGTTCAACCTTTTGGCCTTTTTAGAAAAAGTACTTATTCTACTTTCGTTTTCTACCTATACTATATATTTCTATTTCTACAAGTGAAGCAGCTGAGACACACATCACTTCGTGCACATGCCAGTTTAGACTTTGTTGCCCCTGTTTTTCCATATTATTATGTTCATTGCCATTAGAGAAGTTACTCCCTTTATTTCAGTTGATGTGAACCTATTTCCTTTTTGGTCTGTTCCAAAAAAAATGATCCCTTTCTAAATTTGGTAACAATTTAACTTAAACTTACAACTCTATCCTTAGTGAGAAGCTTTTATAGCCACACAAATACTCTGAGCTCCTTTTTCACTTATTTAGGACCACAAATCCAAAAGTCTTCATTTATTCTTAAAATTCGTGCCCAGTCAAACAGGTTCACATAAATTGGAACGAAGTGAGTAGTAAATAAAGGCAACTTCCGACGCACTTTAAAAGGCCACTTATATAGGTGGAATAGCTCTAACAGTTATAGGTTTAGCCTCTTCTACTGACTCATTGTATTAACATAAGAGCACGTGGACTTTTGCCTTTGACAGCTGGGAGGTAACTTTGAGGCTAATCTATCTAAATTTATACAACCTCTGGATACTGTCCACTTGAAAAGATTTATTTTCCCCTGCTCTTCTTGTGCTTATCTTGGTACCTTGGTGGTTTACTCTAGTAAAAGTTCATCTTTCTCACAATTTTGTGCAGCAAGGGTGTTTACCTCGAAAATACGAGTAACAATTAAACTTGTTTGTGGTTTTAATGATACATGATTTAATTCAATACTAATTAATAACTAAGTAATCAAACGTATAAACTAAAGAAGAAAGTTGAATCAAACCAGTGCTTAAGCAAGTTTTGACCTCGAGCTAGATGGCCTCGAGGTTGGTCAGCAAGAACAGTAAAGTAAAGAAAATAAAGTTAAGAGACAATTCTGATGAATAATGAACAAGAAAGTAAGAAAGTATATTCTTTTGTCAATGATTGATGATGGTTACAAATGCTTGGGGCCACTTTATATAGTAGGGGAACCCTAAATAAGGTCCATTTCTATTTACAGTAAGGAATCCTATTGGGACAGCTGTCTAACCGCCTAGTACGAATTCGTACTAACTCGTACAAATCTATTCCGGAATTTACGCCATGATCTTGGTGACGTGGCGGGAATCTTGCTCTTTTGTAACAAACCCATAACGGTATCATCTCGGGGTTGGTCATACTCGGCATCGGTGCCCATCGCGTACTTCGATCCTCGAGCCTTATACTCTGCCATAGGGCTCGAGCTTTGTCTATCGGTCCCGAACTTGACCCATCCTGAACTCGAGCTTGAAGCAACTCTTCGAGACCGTAAAATCGGGCATACCTGATTTCGACCGTATACAGATAGTCCCCGCGTTTCTTAGAATAAAATGATAAGAAACGACTTGAGCTTCGATTTCTCCGGAGTCCTTGACGATGACGTCATTCCCGTGACGTAGGCGCTCGAGGTGACTGAAATGTTCTGACGGTTCGCTTTCCCGAAACATTAAATGCTTGACCAGTGGTGGTCGGCCATTAACACCGTCGAATCGTCGCCGCTTGTCTATAAATACAAGGTTCAATTTTGAAAAAACTTTACTTCAATCTCCATTCCACCTCTAAATTCCTTTTTATAACTCCCTCTCTTCATCTCTTCTCTCTTATTACTCGTTACTCCCGTTCTTTTAGTGCCAGAAAATATAAAACTCCGCCTATCTCCACTTTCTTTAGTTTGAATCGGCGGCGAAAACTTCTAAATCCATTCCTCAAAAAGAGAAAGCTTCCTCCTCCTCTTGGCCGGTGATAAAGCGCCGGCCCTTCACGAGATCATTCCCGGCCCTTGGGTTATAAAGAAAGACTTCAGAGTTGAAAATCCCCCAGCTATTCCTGGTCGATACAAGCATGCATCGAGGTATGTTTGCTTGATAACGGAGAAACATATCAAGGCCATGAAGAAAGAGTGTGGTTGGGGGGACGAGGCCGCGGTACAGATCCCCGACCCCGAGGAGAGCATTACCACTCATGTGGAGGGGTTCCTAAGTGTTTACACTTACCCCTTCACACTGGATCCCCTCGATCTAGTCGTGATCGACTTCTGCAAAAGATACCAAGTCACCATCTGCCAGATCCATCCCTCTTTCTGACGTATAGTTAATATGCCTCGGTACTTCTCCGACAAGGCCGAGGGGCTAGAGTTCACCCTAAACCATCTCATCAGACTGTATTGGCCTCAGATTTTCCATGGGCTGATCAAGCTCCAACGCCGATCGAGCAAGGCCTTCTTCGCTAGTAAAGATGATGATAAGGACCGGGGCTGGATGAGCTGGTTCGTGCGAGTGAGGACCTCGGATGTCATTCCCGGAGAAATGGAACCCCGATCCTAAGTGAAGTCCTTTCCCCAGTGTCTTCTTATATTCTATTTTTGCATTGTGATGTCCTTACCCTTTTTTGCAGCGATTGCTTGGATGCCCCATGCGATCCACGACCTTGAAGATTGGATCCGAAAATTATCCGCGGCCTCCGCTTATAATGAGCACAAATGGCGCGACTTATCAAAAGGCAAATGGGAGGCCAAACACCATGGTAAGTCCTTCCCCCAAGTTTTTGATGCTTTACTGGATATGTCACCTTACTCATGCATGTTCTTCATTCATGTAGGTATCGGAGATGCCTTCGAAAAGAGGCTAGTCCTACCCAGGGAAGAGACCGAGTCCTCGGTTCCAAAATCGGGGAAAGATGACAAGAGAAAAAGGGCTTCAAAACCCGAAGACCCCCAGGATAAAAGAGACCATGCTCAGAGGCAAATGAGGAAACTCAGTTAGGTGGACAAAACTCAATCCACCAACTGAATGACGAAGAAGAGGACGAGGGCGAAGAATCGGCGTTGGTGACCCAAACCAGAAAGCCAATCGAAGCCGTCAAGTCCTCCGAACTTGAAACCCTGCCCCGTGAAGAGGAAGCTCCAATGAAAAATGCGGGAAAAGCCCCCGAATCACCTGAGATCAAAATCATTCCCCCGCCTTCAACAAGTACACCAAAAGGGGAAAGTAAGGAGACCCCCAAGGCTGGACAGAGCGCCCTGAGCGACTTGCTCGGGATATGACAATAGGTCACTCCCCTCCTCTACCATCTTATTTTGAGGAGGCAATAAAGGAAGCTCAAGCTCAGCGAACGCCTGACCCGAGCAGAGTCCTTAGTGAAGAAGATCCTTTCCGGGATTGCTTTACTGGGGTCGATAATGCCGCCGACCTTAATGATGCAACTACCCTCTTTGAAGAGGCTCATCATCTCTTTTCTCGGGTAAGCATTAGCTCTTATTGTTGCAATTTTTCCTTCTCCTTCTGGACTAACTGATATCTCTTTTTTTGGTGTAGGCAATAACTAAGTTTAGAGCTGAGCGGAGCCAATGTGAGTCCGAGCTCAAGAGACCCTCTGATGAAGAGAAGGCCCCGAGGCTCCTTTGCAGCAAAAATGAGGAGGAACTCAAGGACCTACAAGCAAATTTGGCCAAAGCTTGTCAAAATGAGGTTGAGCTAGAAAAGCAGGTAACCCTCGTTTTGCAAGAGTATGGTCTAGTTGACCCAACTGTGGAGGCTAACACTTCAGTGTCTCAGCTGCAGCAAAAATTGGATATGATCGGGCAACTTCGAGGGGAGGTGGATCAAGTTAAGGCCAACTACAACTAGTGGAAGGAAAATATGGTCGGCTTGCTGTTGAGAAAGAGGCTACTCTAGCCAACCTGGCCTTGGCTGAGACCCAACTCCAGGGAGTCAAAGTAAAAAATCTGGCTGAGGCCAAGGAGATTGATCAGCTCGAGGCCGAACTTGATGCAACCGGGGCTGAGGTTACCGAAGCCAGGGCCGAGGTTGAGAGGACGAAGCCCACGACTGACAAAACTGTTGCTATGTACCTAAAGGATGCCGAGGCTGCTCAAATGGAACTAAGGGAAGCCTCTAACTAGGATAAAAGGATCAGTGATTTAGCCAAGTATCAATTCCGGAGGGAGACCCTCGAAGAAATCCATGCTCGAGGTTTCGACCTCATCGAGGAGATAGCCCAAGCAAAAGCGCTCGAAGTTGATGCCAAGTTCCTCGTCTCCTCCTCCGACGGTGATGATGATAAAGGCAGCTTGAGCGGGTCCGATAATGAAGCTGGGCCCGAAGAGGAAGCTGCTCCTGAGGGAGAGGCCAGCCCTGGGCATAGATAAGATTTTCCTTTTTTCTTGTATTGTTCTCTTTTGTAAGACCTTTTATCGGTCCCTTGTATATATCTTTTTCCAAATATATAAAAGAAGAATTTGCTTGAATGTTTTCTCGATATTTCCTGCCTTATATAATTCTTGCAATGACTTCATCTTTCTTAACTGTGTGTTTGAGATTTTATCTTAGATGTTTTTCTTCGAAATTGCCATGGCTGAGTTTGAATAAGTTCGAACTTTTGGGCATAGACCTTTACGGGCTTGTGACGGATAATGGTGAGTGCTCGAGCCATGATCAAGCCATTATTTGTTTAGGCTTGGGATAATCGAACCCTTGGGTTCGAATTGAGTGAGAGCGAGGTCCCGAACACTTTTTGAATCGACCTTTTAGGCTTACTAAATCGGCCCTTAGGCTCCTTTTTAGGTCGGCCCTTAGGCTCTTTAAGTTGGGCCAATTCGGCCTCTAAAACGGCTATAATTTTTCCCTCTTTTCGGCTTAAAAGACTTGGTGAAAATTTCTTTATGCCTTAGCATGTGTTTTTTTGTACCCGTTGGGTTTTTCGAGGGTTCAATCGATCAGTACCCAATTTTTTCTTAACCCGTTTGTGTTAAGATAATTTAATACCTCTTGAGGCTCTTTTGAATGCTGATATTGTTGAAGCCTTTAAATTATTCGGGGGCTGATTTATCGAAGACCTTTTTATTTGCTTTGCCGAGTAGCCTTATTTAACCGGTTTTTCAAAGTATTTGAAGGCCTTTAACTTATTGTGGAAGTCGGACGTCTCTGAGTCGCATTATTTC